TCAAAATTATGTTTAAAATAAGAAAATATTCAGTATAAAGTTAAAATTTCCTCTCTAGACACTGACTATTTAAAGTTTACAGTCTTCATGTATCTTGTCGGCAATTTTATGGTGTTCGCTCGAATACCACATGTTTCCAAGGTCATGTGATCTCCATGACTCACATCTGAAATCGCAGCAAACTTATTTTGTTAAGTTACGCAAGTAAGCTAACTAACTTACATTGATCATTGAGACAATGGGCGACCTCGCTTAGTTTCTTCATTGTGTACTGACTATAAGTAATATTTTTAAAAAAAATTGGAAGAATTACTTTCCTTCTCAGTGTTACATATTCGTTTTTATTATTATAAATACTTAACCAATACATATTTCATTGTACTACAAGTGCTTAAGAGTAATAAAACCGAATAAACTATTTACTAAGTGATGTTAAAGATCCATTAAATGTCACCACCGATAACAAAAGTAGGTTTATCAGTATCGCATAAATTGCAGAATAAATCTTATTTTTAATACTGTGTGGAGACGAAAACTGAAAAAACAAAAAAACTAAGAAGCTAAAAAGGAGTTGGAGAGTGAGTGTGACGATAAGTATTTACAGATCGAAAACGGTATTTCTGTGTTAAGTATACTACCCACATTTAAAATTTAATGCCTCCCTGTTTGTCTATGTTTGTATACTATACAACTTGAGATTCAACACCTAGGAACGTATACCGAATGATGTCTATTTATTGTAATGTACTGATATTTCCAAGTGTTTGCATTTATCCCTATAATTGTAAAGGCAATTTTCTCATTCTTTTTATATAATGTACAATAAGAATTTATTCATTTAAAACATCTATATTTTACTTAGCTTAGTGTTTTATCCACTTTTCCTAAGTACTAACATTTGTTTGACTCAGCTGTTTCATTTTATAATTAATCGTATGTTTTAGGATTTCATCATTGTACAATTTCTTGGGCTTTAACTGCTGGACATACCAAAAGAACTAAACCTAGGATAAGGACTTGTGGTGATAGTTATCACGAGCTTATTTTGTAGTCAGTTACTATTATTGACTGTAAAATTGTTGTTTAAAAAATTAACCTCGGTATTTCGTTCGCGTGTTGTACGCTGAAGGTATAACAAATTGCTTACCACTCACAAACACACTGCTGCTCACACATGCCTCTCGTCCACGCATATCATTTATCACGATAATAAAACTCTATTATATTTACTATCTATGTTCACAGATCGCAATAATGATCTCATTAGGTAACTACTTTGGATACACTTCTTGGTTCATATCAGTCATACTTGGAATCACTGACTGCTTATAATTAAGGATTACGAAATCAAAAAGGAAACTCAAATACGCCTCCTTCTGATAATCTATTTTCCTTTGTGTATAATTTAGATTTCGGCATATTAGCAAACCAACATTTTTGTGATAAGCTTAACATAACTGTTATCTTGTGGCCACCATGTCTTGAAAGCATGAAATCAGATGATAGATAAGGAGGTGAATACTTAGCGGTAATGGAACAAGACTGAACCACAGGCAAGTGATCCTTAAAGATGATTACACTATGCCTTAGAAACTTTGTCACAGGACACTGTACTATAGATTAAAAATGGAGATTAATAAAGGCCACAGAGAGATTATCGCCCAAACACCATGCCTCGAGTAAGTAGGCACGGCAGTCGTAACTACGTTAATATATTGAATTGATTGTTCTTTCGGCCAGGTTGCATTTGTACAACAAAGGTTTCTGATAAGCAAGTTCTTATCAAAAAGACAGGGTCACTTAGGCTAAACAGGTATATGATTTCAGCGAATGACTTTGTGCATTAGCTACACATTTCGAACAAACAAAAATATTAGTGTTACTATTCATCTGTCAACATCATTAGGCTAGTTAATAATAGTCATATGCCCAAAATTTGTAAGTTTAGTGTTTCTGCTTTCAAATTCTAGTACTTAGTATCATTATGAATTGAAACCCATTCATTAATCCATGAAAGTAGACGACGCTTTTGTCCGTAACACCTTTACGATCGAAGGATTCCAGCCCAGTCAAATCAATAGTCAAAAATGACTGAATTCGAAGATATATCTTGGAGGTTGTTGATATGATGAGAAGCGTTTGATATAAGTTGGCTTGTAGTCGCAAGGGATGTATAGCATAGCGTACCCACTCGTGATCTGGTACGGATGCGTGACCGAGTGCCTTCAGCTAGAGTGTGTAGAATAAAAAGTAATAAAGTCAGCGCCGACCGACCGCACTAGTTTTAATGGACTCACCTAGCTGAATGCGCTCGCTCACACATCCAGACCAGATCACTAGTGGGTATGCCGTGCTTCACATCTCCTACAACCTTCAACCAACTTAGAGTGATCGATTCTCGACGTATCGATGTTCTATCAAGTATGTCTTCGAACCTCTCCGCTTCTGACTTCTGACTTGATTGGGTTGGCATATTATAAAAGGTGTTACCGGTTAAGGTGTTGTCAAAATCCGAATACCTGTAGCATCTTTATATGTAATATTTTGATTGTGATCATGATTCGTTCAATGTTGGACCTCCGGTGAAAACCTGGCAGCACTTGGCGGCCGCTCTATTCCTCTTGAATATTTTATGCTTATTTACGTGATTTATTATGAACATTTATGTACTATATCCATGTCAATGTAATGGTTTGTTTGTTTGCTAATTTTATTTCGATTGGGATCACTAATCGATCAATGCTAGGCCACGATTGAAAACCTGGAAGTACTGGATATGCATTGCAGAGGAGTCCCATACTAGGACGAAAAGGTTTTCTAGTGTTTCTCTGTTTACGATGGCGGCCGATCACTGAATCTGAATTCAATAGCTTTAGATCTTGGATAAGTTTTTTACTTCAAAGGTTAACTCTGCTTTGTAATGTTCTGGGCCAATGAAATTTTACTGGGCTCCAGGCAAATCGTCCGTCAATCCGGCCACTGAATGTAGAACGGTTCATCGCACCTCATCAAAATTAAGGACAACTAATTCGCATCAGTTAGTTGCACTCCATAGAATAGCCTATGCGGTAGTGGCCGGGCTCTGTTTCTTGTACCTACTCTTGATAATTTACTTCTCTAATATCACCGCATGTGTTGTACGGTCATCAAAGCAGCCATAGTGCCCAGATGCGACGAAAGAGTAATCTACGTTAGTTACTATCCGTGATGTGTGACCCCAATGTTAGAGGGTTCGTAACAACATTCCCGTCTAAATCGAGTAGGTCTCTGGTCATTCGACACAGTCCATCTAAGTTAGTGATCTAATACACTTGACGACCAGTGTCAACATATTTGATAAATGTTTGAGAGATAGATGTATTTCAGACACAATATGCCTGTTGACCGGTTGTGGTAGGTCATAATATGAGGGCGGTGGGTGTTGAATTATATTTCGTGTTTGTCACATTGCGTAATGCATCAATCGACGTATCTGTCAATGGTTGTATTAACTGCTTTGTAAGTCTGCTCCGTTTATAAATTTAGTCTAATATATTTCACATGTTTACGAAAAATGTGCCTAGCTGTACATTTACAGTTGGTCACATAGACAAACAGAATAACCAATAAGAAGAAATTTTCATATTTAATTACCGCATAATTTTTGACGTCTTAACAGTTCACAACACCATATGCCTTTCTTAAAATATCGTCCTAATTCATTGGACTATTCTGAAAAATTGATATGAACAGATGTCTTCTGTGATCTAAGTTAAGATGATAGCTAGAATCAGGGAAAAAAGCCATGGAGCCCTGGGAAGATCACATTTCAGGCTAAAACACTTCTACGCCAGATGACAGATCAAAAATCGTTAGGCTGTCTAACGGACATCGTCAAGGTCAAGGATAACTAACGCAAATTAATTGATTTCACGTTATAGACTGTCCCATGCGTCAATGGCAACCTTCTGTTTTCTAAGATATTTTTACAAACATGTCTCTTAAATAGCGTTATGTTTGCTCAATACGGCCTTTGGATTAACCACAATACCTTCATACCACGAAATGGCAATACAACAGGGGTATTAACTGCGGAATGTGTCTACGATAACCGTTCAATTCCAGTAGACTACGATCATCCATATAGATCCAACATAGTGATAGTTCATGCTGGTGAGCCCAAAGGCCCATTCTTTGGCGTTTTCGACCTTGATCTCATAAACATAATGGTGAGTATTTGTTTGTCGTCTGGGTCGTGCTAGAGGTGTCTGACAACCTGACTGTTTGGCGAGACCAAAGAAGACTAAGAAGTCTTGGAATTTTGTAACCTGAGCGCGAGAGTATTTGAGGTGATAAACTACACCGTTCCAATTAATTCCCCACCGACTAGTGTTTCCAAATGAGTGGTACTTGGATACTCATCATAAAATCTTACAGCTGAAGTCAAATTCTCTCCCCAGAGTTTATGGACTGGCTATAACAGTGATGTGGTCAAGAATTAACTTCATTTGCACCCAATAAATTATTAAAATATCTTTCTGAGTCTCTCCCGCAAAAGTGATCAGTCAAGCATCTTCGCCATCATTCAGCACACTGTTTGTCAAAGGCAACTTCTATTTACTAAACAGTCAAGCAAATAGTCACAAACTTATTACAATCTAGATAGGCTTTACGCGTGTGATTTATGATGCTGACAGTCATCCAAAGTAAACCACAACCTTCCGTTAGTCGCGCAATGTACAACCATCAGGTCAAGAGTGACGCCGTAATAATACATCAAGAGAATGTCTAACTAATGTACAACTGCTTGTTTTGTTGCTGCTAATGAAACCGACTTTTATACCCACCTTTAAATTCTCTCTCTTGTAAATCTACCATTCAGGGGCACTCCGTCCATAGAAAGTCACCCTTACAAATATCCTTGCTCGTTCTAATATACTCTTCCATTCAGCTAAATAGCGAATTTTTTCTAAATAAATGCTCAAATGAGCGAACAACCATTACCGTAGTAGAATGTATTATGAACCTGGTATAAGTGAAATTACATAATAACTATAGTAGTTGGTAACAATGCACTTTCTACACTTCAGCTTAAGTAAAGTAGACCATGTTTTAGCAAAAGAAGTGTTAAGTGTACGTGGAAACTACTTGAAAAATTGTTTCATAATGAGTTTTTGAGATTTAAATACCTAGAAGTGACTGAAATTCTGTTGTCATCTATTGTAAATGACCTTGTGCTGACTGAATGCGGCTACTTGTGCGTCGTCGCTACAGTAAGGTTATTCTACAAGCACGTGTTTGTTTGTCGTTTTCATGTTAAACTCAAAGAACAGGTTGCCGTATATTTTTTGAAGAGTGTTTTCTGTTAACAGACAATCAAATGTGGGTATTAAACGGTCTGCACTAACAATATAACTCTCGATACGGTAGTTTATGGGTTCTAAGCGTAGAATCTACAATTATGCTGTCTAAACTAACTAGTTGTCGTATGAAGTTCACAGAGTACAGCATACAAATGTGATCTGGTGAGGATGCTTGATTAGAACCCTTCGGCTGGGAATGCGTCTGGTGGAACTAATGAGACGAGCACTAATGTCGAGGACTTATAAAACTATTTATTTATGGGGTTTATTTACCGCCAAACTCACTGCCCTCTCCTGGGATGTGGTGATAACGCGTAGTGTTTTTAAGGCGGCCCATGTGGTGTTCTAGGTCCACATTCGTTGTCCGAGATAGACATACGGATTCCCTGTGAGTCGACGTGTCGCATTACAATTGAGTTCGACTACAGTGCATCCAGCGTCTAAAGATGAGGGTGCAACTATTATTTGTAGACGAGTCAATGAAACTTAAGATAGCGGATTGTGTGTTTTGGCGCGAAATTCATTCACTCATTTGGTTAAGTAACATTTTATAACTGATGTCACTTCGTGATGAAAACATAAAATCTAATCCCTAACACTAACCATCAACAGTAAATCCTAATTCCAATTCCTCACGCTCATATATAACCCTCGCTTGACTCTAATGAGTAGATGGACACTTTACGTTAGTCATCCTTGATCTTGACGACATTTCAACAAACTGTCCTACGTTCGTTGATTTGTCGTCTAACGTAGAAATGGTCCAGTCTGTGAATGATTTGCTTGGTGCTCAGTAACGTTTTACTTACCCTTTAAACTTTTTGCAGTTTTAAAATCCCATTTTGTCTGACTGGATATCCTAAGAAAGTTTCTCCATTACTAGTAATGGTGATAACTGCCGAAAAAATATGTTCACGTTTAAAATACTCAGTTTATGACTTTAAACGACGCATAAAGAACCTGTAGTAGCTGGTTTATTTTAGAAATCCAGCCATGACAAACTTTATTATTGGAATGCTATGGGTAACAGTGTACTGCTTAGGGAATTTCATTAAATAGGTAAACATATAATACAGTATGTTAAAAATTCTCTCGTACACCAACCGGGGATTTGTCATTTATTAAATATCTCGTATCTGTTTAACAGTTTGGCTAATGGCATTTTTTATTGTAAAATTTCAGATGGAGTCTTTACTTGATTTAATTCAATCTCTTGAGTGAGTCGTTTGATTTGTGCATAAATATGTAACCCCAAAATAAGTTCTTCAGCATTTATACTTTTCTACAAATCCTTCATTGCTTCCTATCGGTTGCACTTGTTTCTAGATTGTTTCTTCTCCCATCGATACTTCACTTTCGTTTCTATTCACCGTATTTTCGATATATTTTCTAATAACAAATAATGATGGCTGATCCAGTCGCTCATTAAAAAACAACAGTTCAAATACTCATCATTTACCAACACACCCTTACTCGATGGAGCGGTGGCCTAATGGTTAAAATGGTCCACTTTCAACCTATATGTCTAGAGCAAATTATGCCTTACCTGCTCAATTTCAAACAGACAGGTGGTATCATCAATCTTCATTTTTGAGGTTTGACTTACACCCAGGAAAATAAATGTTTTCAGTTGTTCAGCTACCAAAATAAATATCTGAACCTCAGTAGTTCGTTCACTTGCACACTTTTCGACTATTAAAACGTATAATCTACTTCAAAACGCACGTATCATAACCCAGTACAAGGATTTTTAATTTTGGTATACTACGAAAAACCAAATGGATTGCGCATGTATCACCACTTACCAATAGTTATCAGGTTTGTAGATCTATTGGCAAACCGGATGACGGACAATTGATAGTTAGGAGGTTTACCATTATAAAAAATGTGTATGTAATTCTATCTGAAGACATATGAATTCAATGTCGCTTTCAATACTTAATGACAAGTCAACTGGCGTTCTATTATTTATCAGGTGTCCAATATCTAGCTATGGAAAAGTTCACCAATATTGATTGACTGCTTTTAGGTGTCGTTAAGTGAATTACTGTGAGCCCTAGACTAAATATTATTCCATAATCTTAATCCATGATACTTTAAACACTACTAGGAGTTGCTGAATATCTTATGCAACCATTAAATTGATCGAATAATATTGGAAATTGAAGAATGACGAACTAATTGTTATTTTTCGGCAAAATGATTAGTCGGACAGCATAACTAAGTTCTTTAATTCCGATTTCGTTGAGTTACTCGCCATTTTGCTTTGGAAGGAACACTACAAAAATACACATAGCTGCTTTTTTGTCATGTTATTGATAGAATGCTTAATTTTGCTCTTTGAAAACACCAAAAACACACCACCTTGATATCTTGTTATTCAACAGTAACATGATCCCTTAGAATTACAGCCTTCACACAAATCGAATGACGAAGTGCGGCGCATATATTTGATGCCTCCTTGTTTATGTGTTTAAATACATATAAAATAAAGCGTTGCGTCAGTCCATGAAAATATAGACTATTGAACTGGGGCATGTTAGCCAGTTAGTCAGTCAGCGATAACGTAGAAACTTACGTACGTACATCAGTTCAAGTTGCCATACTACATTAGCACACATATACAATTGTCGACTCAAACCCCGTAGTTGTATTGATATTTAAAGTATGAGCAATAATCGGAAAGTGTAGGATTTAAATATGTTATTCACAGAGTACAATCCAGTGAAATAAATTAGGAAAGAGAAAAAAGGGACATGGAGAATTCAGAAGATTAGAATCTGGGAGAACACAAAGAGTGGATTCACCTGCGCCATTGCAAACGATTTTGAGCCATGTCATTCAAGGTCTCTAACCACCAGTTGCTATTGTCTCTCGGATCCCAACCAGGCAGTCTACACCTACCAACATGGCTCAGTCCACTTGTTAGTGACTTCATGGATTTTTGCTATGTTTTGGTCTGGCCTCCCTTAGCTTTTTCCCAACTTATTCCTACGCCATAAAACATCGGTCGTCGGGGCAGTCGGTGGTTGGCCATACGTAAAACATGTCCCAGCCATCTTAGCTGATGAAGTTTCATTACTTCAAGTGGTTCGCCATCCTTACCTAGTACCCGTCTCCTAACAACTGCATTACTTACTCGGTTGTTCCAGGATATACGAGCAATGCTTTGGAGACATCTATGATCGAATACGAGTAACCTACGAATATCCCCTACTCTTACCGGCCATGTTTCACAGCCATAAAGTAGGAAGGAACGAACTGCTGCGCATGTTAGTAGCGGCAAACTATTGGTTAAAGTCCACGCGATTATCGTAACTAGAGGTTAGAGACTTTTGATAGCATAACTCAGAATCATTCACAATGACACTGATACATTGACTCTTTGTATTCCCTTAGATCATAGGCTTAGCAATTACTTTAGAAATGTTATATTACATGAATTCATATTGTCTCGAACTATATATATGCCTAGTCTTTTCTACTACCAGTAATACTGTTACCATCTACACTGCTCTGGCATCTCGCTGTGCTGGTATAATATAGCAAATTAAACCGACACAAAAATACAACAGCTTTTACGTCACGTGACTTACTGAGGCCGATTATTTATCCCCCTTTCAAACTGGTTTCTCAGAAGTGATGGATAAAGTTTAAAGCAAAGTTGCATCCACTGATAAAGCCTTGTTAGCATATCTGAGTTCCCGGATATGCACATACAGTATAGAAAAACAGTGTATAAAATACCTGATTTCGTAATTTTCGTCTCTATTTCCATTGATTGAATCTATATCTACAGTTCTCATTTACCGTTTTGGTGTCCATCGGTTTTGTTTCTCCTAGTTTAGTATCTTTCCCATTCTCTTCAGTCTCATCAGTCATTTTGAGTATTATTTAATAGGTCTGTATGCAATGAATAAAAACCTAGTGCAGTTACCCTCCATATCTAAAACGCAAACTTGATATATTATAAGCGGAAAAATAAACCTGCCATATATAGCTTCAACATAGCAAAGAAAATAGCTTAACTATGTAAAACGATCCCACCCACTGGTCTGCGGTTTTCGTCTATTGGGTCTCGACTTCGAAATTTACATAACTTAATTTTAAACTGTCGGGTATAATATCGAATAGTTATATGGTAAATAAAGCTTACAACCTAGGCTAGTGGATGACTTTAGCAAGTTTCTCTCCGCATACTTACCCTAGCTCAAATTTTCGTGCTTCAATGCGTATATACTTGTTGACTATTTCACACAATTCTCTGCAGGGTGAGTGATAATAAATTCTCTCAGACTTTACAGGGCGATTTTATCATAGCTTTGTGAAGTATTCCTCTGTATTCATTTTCCCAGTTCACATTACAAAGAGATTTCTCACTCCTACTTTATTAACATAGGTCAGGATTAACGGATACGAAAATTACATCACAAAAAGATTCCATAGAAACTCTCATTACGGGTATAAAAAGTATTCCACTTTCGAATATCACATCCAAAGAGAGTAAGTGTAATTATCTGTTTCCAACATTTATAAGTGTGTTTTAATTAAAAGAATAATTATGCAACAACAAACCAGAACTTTATATTTCGTAATATCTATGTAATTTAACCATTATTTTTGAGTAACTCTTGCTTTACCATACAGCTTTCTTGTTCTCATTTTATGGGTTTTTAAAAGCTAACGACATTTTTTTACGGTTTGATGTAATTTTTATTTGTTTTGGCCATATTATACTGATCATCTCATTGCCTGACCTTAACGTTAACTATCTGCTACCGGTTTTACTACCCTAAATATAAGTTTGTACATTTTTATTTTATAAATAAACAAAGATATGGTTATGCTTTACTTAGCCGAAATTGATATACTGTTTAGAAAAATGGCAGTCAACCAAAGATACAAATGATTATGTCGCCATTTTGTAAGGTGGCCAGATTTTAAGAATATTAGTTGGCCAATAGATTCCAAGCAATTTTGATCTACCTGGCCAACTTATCCAAAATATAAAATCAGCTTTAGTCATAGCATGGTATCTTTTTGAGAATCACAGAAAAGTAGGGAGGATCCAGCAACTTCTTCGTCTCAGGTTTTTAACTCTTCCGTAGCTCCAACTTAAGACTCCGCCAAGGATCAAACTCTGCCTTCAGATTTCATGACGAATAGAATACACTCCAATTGTGATATAATCTAAAAAACTGTCTCAATTTATTTTATAGATAAACAGTTTGACTTCCCAGTCATCTTATTTCCTAAAATTGACCCTATACTATTCGTATCTACCTTAAGCAGTACCTTTATCATAACATAAACTTCATACAGTTATCTCAGGATTTGTTGAAGAAGTAATTGTTTCACTCATTATACGTGTTGTTACGGTTGATGTAATGTAATCATTCCCATCTATTTTTTTCGCTATTTTAGTCGATCACCTTATTGATTTTCTATCGGATCGTTTGGCACTTGCTGATCCAAATATTACAAATTTAATTCTTGATGGATTTATATGGTTGACAAAATCTACATGGTCTAACGGTTGTAGCATGGTCAATCCAGAACAAGCTAAACGGATTGTTCAGGATGGAATATTTGGTCATTTAACAATACAGAATTTAATCAAATCTGGAAGGCTGAAAGTTTTTCAGTTACTACATTGCTTTTTAACTGGATCTCAGCTAAATGGTAGGTTCTATTTTAAAAGAACTATCACTTGTATGCTACAATTGGATTTTTATTCTGCATTTTGATTAAAAACGTCACTTTTGAATCATTCACTCTGAAACTAACATATTAGCGTACGCTCACAATTCAACATACTTACCTTTTGCGGGATTATAGAATCTCGTCAATTTTTATTTGATGAACGTTATGGAAGCATTACTATAGTTAACGGTAGTCTCTACATAAACCTGGGAACACTGCTTGAAGACATACTAGAAAGCATTATAAAATGTTAGAGTTCGATTGAATGAAAGTTCATTAAGATAATATGCTTTTAATCAGAGGGTTCTGATCAAATCCTGAACTAATGAATCGATGAAGAATTCTGCCTAAAGATCCTACGTTGTAGAAGAACTTCCTAAACATTTGAAATAGCAACTGTTGTAGCACATAATTCTAGTAGAATACTCGTTCATTTGGTCCAAAGTATGAAAAACTGAACTTTAAAAACAAAATTCCCATCAAATCCATGTCAGTATATCTGTAAATTGTTAAGTGTTGATCTTGATGTGAAATATTATCTCTTGATCCTAAGATTTTGGATAATCATCATAGTATTACTTAAGATAGATATACAAGTTCAGTCCAAGAAAGACGTCTAACACTTCTTAACGACCAAGTTTTTGAAGGATTTAAGTTTGTTTCAATAGGTTGTTACTACAAAGTTACAGATGTTAGTCTGGCTATAAAAGGCCGGATCTACAACGCGTCGGTGAGAGCAGTTTTGCTCTATGCTTGTGAAACCTGGCCTCTCCGAGTTGAGGACGTTAGACGACTCTCTGTGTTCGATCATCGCTGTCTCCGAAGGATTGCTGACATTCAGTGGCAACACCAAGTCAGTAATGCAGAGGTTCGGCATCGTGTGTTCGGGCACAGAGATGATAACTCAATTGGTGTCACCATCTTGAAACACCGACTTCGGTGGCTTGGACATGTTCTCCGAATGTCGTCCCAGAGAATTCCACGTCGTGCATTATTTGCCGACTCTGGGACTGGTTGGAAGAAGCGGAGAGGTGGTCAGTGCATGACATGGTGTCGTGGCATGAAAGAAAGCTGCAAAGGACTGGCTTCTGTTGGTCCTTCACGACTCCCTGGCTGGGGTCCGAGAGATGGTGCTACACAGTGGCTAGAGACGTTATCAGATATGGCTCAGAATAGAAGCCAGTGGCGATCCTGTTGTAACCTTCTTTTACTTTCTTCATAAAAAGTGGTTGTATCTTCCTTAACTGAAAGATTTCTTCTGATTGTACCTCTTCGTCATTACTCTCTCTTTCTTTTGCGTTCCTTAGTTTTTTTTTCTTTCTACTTCTCTTCGAATTCCCATTGTTTTGTGTGGCGCATATATATTTGGCGCGCTCTTGTACCAATATTTATGTGTTCAAATAAATAAATAAATAAATAAAATACAGAGGACAACACCATCAGTCAACTTACGGAATGTATATTATACTACTAAAATTATTACGAATATACCCTAATATTTAAATAAATTAGTATGACTTATCAGATAACTTATGCTTAAAATCAATACTGAAGGTGAAATTTATTAGGTAACCAGTACTATTTGACTTATTCCTGTAATTTCAGCAATGCAAACATTACATTGTACGTAATCAAATTCATTAACTTGCAATTTTTCTCACTTGCATTTACACGAATCATCACTTTTATGTTCGTTTACGTTCTTCCTTTCTATCTGTGTGTATGTGTAGGTATCCAGTCAATGGAATCTAATTTTATTCAGAAGTATTTAATAGCTACTGATGAAGAAAAAGATCCACAAATTTTACATCTGATTTTTCGTATGAATGTAATCATTATTAGAGAGTTTCCTTCAGGTAAACAATCAATTCACTATATTAAACAGCAATTTATTTTGTAAGGTTATATTCATTCTTTTTCATTTGAGTAAAATTTTAACGAGAAGTGGCTCCCTAAGAAAACCACCTGCTTCGGTGTGGGCGCCTGGACAGTATTCCAGCCTCCACACTAATCATTTGATATATATATGGTGGATTTTTGTACCAATGTGTATGTGCTTAAATAATTAAACTAGCTTCAATCATGTTTGGATTGGTATTCTCTCTGATTTTCTCGAGTTTGCTATTCTTCTGCACTAATTAAGAGTGTTAGCGGAAAATTACTTACTTACTTACTTACTTACTTACTTACTTACTTACTTACTTACTTACTTACTTACTTACTTACTTACTTACTTACTTACTTACTTACTTACTTACTTACTTACTTACTTACTTACTTACTTACTTACTTACTTACTTACTTACTTACTTACTTACTTACTTACTTACTTACTTACTTACTTACTTACTTACTTACTTACTTACTTACTTACTTACTTACTTACTTACTTACTTACTTACTTACTTACTTACTTACTTACTTACTTACTTACTTACTTACTTACTTACTTACTTACTTACTTACTTACTTACTTACTTACTTACTTACTTACTTACTTACTTACTTACTTACTTACTTACTTACTTACTTACTTACTTACTTACTTACTTACTTACTTACTTACTTACTTACTTACTTACTTACTTACTTACTTACTTACTTACTTACTTACTTACTTACTTACTTACTTACTTACTTACTTACTTACTTACTTACTTACTTACTTACTTACTTACTTACTTACTTACTTACTTACTTACTTACTTACTTACTTACTTACTTACTTACTTACTTACTTACTTACTTACTTACTTACTTACTTACTTACTTACTTACTTACTTACTTACTTACTTACTTACTTACTTACTTACTTACTTACTTACTTACTTACTTACTTACTTACTTACTTACTTACTTACTTACTTACTTACTTACTTACTTACTTACTTACTTACTTACTTACTTACTTACTTACTTACTTACTTACTTACTTACTTACTTACTTACTTACTTACTTACTTACTTACTTACTTACTTACTTACTTACTTACTTACTTACTTACTTACTTACTTACTTACTTACTTACTTACTTACTTACTTACTTACTTACTTACTTACTTACTTACTTACTTACTTACTTACTTACTTACTTACTTACTTACTTACTTACTTTACTTACGCCTCTTACGCCTCGTGAAGGAGCATGGGCCGCTCAACAGCATTCTCCATCAAACCCTGTCCTGGGCGGAATATAGATTAGATTAAGGCACGTTTAGTGCAGGATTCTTTTATGAGTATTACAATAGAATTTTCAAGCGCTTCTTACAAGTAACTGTAATGAAGAAATTGCTATAGTTCTGATTACTCCTCGATCCAGAAAGTAGAGAGTTTGTGAATGTAGATTTATTGCTGAGCTATATTCCATGAGAAAAACGAAGTCATTTTTTGTTTACAAAAAATATAGTATAATGAAATAGAATTCCTTTATAATAGAGAAATATTTGTTTGATTTGTGTAGATTTGCGTTTGTTCACTTCAATACATATGACTAGTCTGATCAAATAATGATTGCTCACATAAGTTAAGTTTATTGATATAAGACCTAAACAAACAGATATCAAAAGATCGAATCACAGGTTCAAATTTTGCTTCACATACTATTGTCTAGATAAGTGGATGGTATTACTCGCCCTTACACTTAGTAGAATGTAGCTTCAAGGTAAGTATTACTGATCATAAAAATAGTAGACTTATATGCAAAATACTTACCATAAAATAAACAGACGTATAATATATATATGTATAATAGTTATCGTTTTTAATTTTGTTTTTTATATATTTCTATCAGTAATCGAGTTCAAGGATGAATTATTTGAAACAATATCAGTTTATTTTCCTATCGACTTTTCACCGGTACGTTTTATTTCTGTACCATATATAATATTAATAATTAATTAGTATATTGTGTACCATTGATATGCACTGACTGTTTTTGACGATATCGAGATGGCTAGTTTTTTTCTCACTCACCTTCTTATGACATATTGACTGCTAAAAATCATTAATTAGTTTGGTGAATAAATGTTCAGTTTTATCTGTTGACCTAGTGAAGTATGTAGAGGTATTACGGAGACAAATGCAATGAACTTGTTTTCAGGCCGTTGACAATTATCGTTACTTACCCCTTAACCTACTTCTCATACTAGTGAGCACTAGTCAGTGACGCGTACCTGTAATATTAGTGCAACTGATCAATAAAATTAAATGAGCAATAAGGACTAAAGTGATAAGACATTAGTCACTACTCATTCACTTAATCAATGTACAGAGAGTTGATATTGATAAGTAAGACAAGTTACTAAAAACTACTATAGATAGTAGTACAATTAGAATAATAAATGAACAGCTGTCAATTATGATGCTCCCTATTACGTAATCCGCTTAAAACAGTATTAATTCAATGCAAATCAAATGAACTAATAAGCGAAACAAATAGAACATCCTATGAAAAATGATTGAATCAAGAGCTTTTCTTAATTAGAATACAATTATTATTTATTTATTTATTAAACATTAAGCTTAATCAAATCAATGAATCTAGATAACAGAAAACGTACATTATGTATACATAATAAATATGTTAATTGATATATAGTCAAAGAGTATATTCAGCATTGATCTTTTTCTGACTACATTTTATAATTGCTGTGTAAATACAATATGTCTTTTATAATCTATACACCAAATAAGCATGTCATTTCTTTTCTTTAACAAGAAGCTAAGGCTAAATTAATGGAATTATTTCATTCTGTATGAATTTAATAGAAAAAACTTCACATACTTTTTAAAAGGAAAGTCTTAAGACGTTCATTAAACTGTAACACAATTTTGTATTTAAAGTAATTTAGCTTGTAGTTTAGTTTTTTTTTCTACTTGAATCTTCATTTCTAAAATGTTTTAGTTGTCTTATCACATATATAAATGTTTCTGAGTTTGCTCGTATCACCTCTATTGTAACATTATAGTTTTGTTTTTATCAAAGTAAAGATAACCTTATTTCCCAGCCTCAGTGAATCGTATTCAAGTCTCATGAGAAAATCCTGTTGCTAATTTTTTGAACACGAGTATTCATCTTTTGGTTATGGTACACTGCTCGCCCTTACCATTAAGTATTCTGGTGTGTTTTTTTATCAATGTGATTCTTTCTTCATCCACTGAATCTGTATGAAGAACATTTTATTCTTATTGATTTGTTACTTGGTCAAAATTGCCAAATGATTCTTGTCATTCTTTGGAGAACACTGTGATCATATTTGTACATCATAGTTATTCGTTTAATTCACTCTTTTTTATTTTGTCCAGTAAATCTTTCGAAAAGTTGTCTTTGTTCACCGTATCTATTATTCAAATAATTAGTTGTAATCAAAATAAAATACCATTCGTAAGGGTTTACACTTTTCTGTTGTGGATATTCTCGACTGCAAGTCTTAAATCCCTACAAATAATATTCATACGCTTTGTATAAGCTAATCATTATATGGAATCAGCTGTTCAATTGATAAACCATTGGCGTTTAAAGTAATAGGTTACTGGGTTCGAGTTTGTACATCAACATAAAATTACAGACATGTCTCGCTGATTAGACCCATATGGAGTAAAAAGTATGCCATGAATTCCATGGCTGCACTCTATCTAACTTGAATAAGCTAAATTTTTTAAAATGTGTTTTATATTATTACTTTTGCAATTGTCGCATGTCCAGATCCTTTCCAGAAAAGGTGTCTCAACTCTAAGTAACAAGACCTCATTTTCCTAAATTGATTTCCTTTTTTATCCATTTGTATTCATTGCCATTTAAGTTCAAGTCAAATAAGTATATATTATTGTCTATATAGCCTCCAGGTGGTGGTATCTCTGGAGTTACGCGTGATTTGCTAGCGTCGAGCTTGCACCAATGTTTATTTTCTATGAGAAATATAACTGGTCATAATCTTATACCACTTATTTGCGAAAAAATTGATTCACAATGGCCCAGTGGTCAGTTGGATGCTTTATGCTTATTCAATGATTGTTTACATGGGAAACTTCAACGTTCAGATGGTGATAATGATATCAATCATGTCTTGTTCTCCGATAGGAATCCAATCGATATACGTCACATTTCTCCTTATCTTGGTATAATTATTCCTACATTAATTCAAATTGTAAGTGGTTGTTTATGAATCGTTACTTTTTTCTAAATTAGTTCTTCTACCATAAACTTCTCAAATCATGTTGTTATTGATCTACTTAATGTATGACGATTGACATTTCCAACTAGTTAGATGAGGAGGTCAGGTTTTCACATAATCAGCTGATACTGCTTAGTACATAATTAGGAATAGGTGTACAGACCGAACTCGGCACAGACAATGATATTAGTTTGGTGGATAATTTGTTAGCTCATCTTAACTCACTGATGCATGCGTCTAATGTACCATAAAATCATGAGATATTGTGTAACTTCTCTAGTTTGCTCTTTACATCAAATTTAATCACTTCATCAAATTAAATGATAGTTTTGAGTTTGTCAGCTACATTCGTTAAACTTGATGAGTGGTGATGCATTTGATTGTTCTTTGTATCAATTTTTTCAGAACTATCAATGTCAATTTTGTGCCCCGTTTCAATTATATATTTTACTATCGATGAACCTGGTTTTCTACCTCCCACGTTGATCGGATCATTTGACACACATTGATTTTGAAGCCATCTAGGCACATGTTCAATGACCCTTGATTGCATTGTTCGATTACTCCTCCCTATGTATGTGTGTCCACACAAACATGTAAATTGTTAAATACAACGGGATGTGACGTAATTATTAGTGCATTGTCTAGGTCTATTTGGAATCATGGGCTTAGACTTTTCAATCACAACCAATTGAGCAGCATAATAGGTTTTCTCGATGGCTGCTTTCAATCTCTGTCTTAAAACTATACTGTTGGATTCGCCTCTATATGGTAGATTGATATAAACTTTTTTCTTCGGAATCGAATAAACAAGAGGCCTTGGCATTAACTGACTTTTGCACCTATTAATAAACTTTAGTGGATAACCATTTACTATTAATGTGTCAGTTAGTAACTTTTCATCTTTTTCCACCGTGTCAGAAGTACAAATTCTTTGAGTCCTCTTAAAGAGACAATTAACCAAGCCTCGCTTGTATTGCAATGAACAGAAACTATGGAAATTTAAGTGTTGTCCCGTCCAGGTTGGTTTCCTATACTTACTTACTTACGCCTGTTACTCCTCGTGAAGGAGCATAGGCCGCTCACCAGCATTCTCCATCCAAACCTGTCCTGGGTAATCCTTTCTAGCTCCGTCCAGTTGTAATTCATCGTTTTCATATCTGCTTCTATTATCCGACGCAATGTGTTCTTTGGCCTTCCTCTTTTTCGCTTCCCTTCAGGATTCCAAGTTAGGGCTTGCCTCGTGATGCAGTTTGACGATTTGCGTAATGTATGTCCTATCCATTTCCATCGTCTTTTCCTAATTTCTTCTTCAGCTGGAAGTTGGTTTGTTCTCTCCCATAGAAGGCTGTTGCTGATGGTATCCGGCCAATGGATGTTGAGTATCTTGCGAAGACAGCTATTTATAAATACTTGTACTTTCTTGATTGTGGTTGTTGTAGTTCTCCAAGTTTCAGCTCCATACAGTAGAGCTGCCTTGACGTTCGTATTGAAGATTCTCACTTTGATATTGGTTGAAAGTTGTTTTGAGTTCCATATGTTCTTCAATTGTAGGAATGCGACCCTTGCTTTGCCGATCCTCGCCTTTACGTCTGCATCGGATCCTCCTTGTTCATCGATGATGCTTCCCAGGTATGTGAAGGACTCTACATCTTCCAGAGTTTCGCCATCAAGTGTGATTGGATTGCTGTTCTCCGCTTTGAATTTGAGGACCTTAGTTTTCCCTTTGTGTATGCTGAGGCCTACTGATGCAGAGACTGCTGCTACACTGGCTGTCTTCATCTGCATCTGTTCGTGTGTACGTGATAGGAGGGCTAGGTCATCTGCGAAGTCCAAATCGTCTAATTGATTCTGAGCTGTCCATTGTATTCCGTGTTTTCCTTCAGATGTTGAGGTCTTCATAATCCAGTCGACCACCAGAAGAAAGAGGAAGGGAGAGAGTAAACAGCCTTGTCTGACTCCGGTCCTTACTTGGAATGCATCTGTCAGCTGTCCTCCATGCACTACTTTGCACCGTAGTCCGTCGTATGAGTTCCGGATAATATTGACAATCTTCTCAGGAATTCCGTAGTGTCGAAGAAGTTTCCATAATGTCCTCCTATCTACACTGTCGAATGCCTTTTCATAATCAATGAAGTTGATGTATAATGATGAGTTCCACTCAACTGATTGTTCGACGATGATCCGTAGTGTTGCAATTTGGTCTGTGCACGACCGATCCTTACGGAATCCAGCTTGTTGATCTCGAAGTTGGGCGTCTACTGCATCCTTCATCCGGTTCAGCAACACTTTGTTGAAGACTTTCCCTGGTATTGACAGTAGTGTTATGCCTCTGTAGTTTTCACATTTGCTCAGATCTCCTTTCTTTGGAATCTTGACGAGGTGTCCTTCTTTCCAGTCCATCGGCACTTGTTCCTCCTCCCAAATCTTTTTGAATAGAAGATAAAGCATGCTTGTGGTTGTTTCGATATCTGATTTCAGTGCTTCAGCTGGTATGTTGTCGGGTCCTGCTGCTTTCCCGTTCTTGATTTGTCTGACGGCCATTCTAATTTCTTCCGTAGTTGGTGGATTGACATCTATAGGAAGATCTATGTGTGCTGCTTCGATGTCCACTGGATTCATTGGAGCCGGCCTATTCAGGAGTTCCTCGAAGTATTCTACCCATCTGTTACGCTGTTGTTGAATTTCGGTGATTTTCTGCCTTCTTTGTCTTTGACTGGCCTCTCTGGTTTACTGTAATTCCCTGCTAGTTTCTTCGTTGTATCGTGAAGTTGTTTCATATTTCCTTCTCTAGCAGCTTTTTCTGCCGTCGTTGCTAGTTCTTCCACGTATTTCTTCTTGTCGGCTCTAATGCTTCTCTTCACTTGTTTGTTTGCTTCTATGTATTCAGCTTGTGCTTGGACTTTCTCTGCTCGTGTTCGGCTGTTGTTTATTACTGCCTTGTTCTTCCTTTCTTTGATCTTGTCCAGTGTTTCTGTAGAGATCCATTCCTTATGATGGTATTTCTTTAGACCGAGAACCTCTTGACACGTTGAAGTTAATGCTTCTTTGATGCTTTTCCAGTTGTCCTCCATAGTAGTTTCTTCTTTCAGTAGATCTTGTAAGGCTTGGAACCTGTTGTTGAGAGCTATCTTGAATTCATTGAGTTTGACAGTATCTCGAAGGAAGGCTGTATTGAACCTTTGTATTGCTGTTTGTCCACTTGTCCAGTTCTTTTTTAGCTTCAGTTTCAAATTGGCTACAACTAGGTGGTGATCTGAAGCTACGTCAGCACCTCTCCCGGTTCTCACATCTTCCATTGTCCTTCGGAATTTTTTGTTGATGCAAATATGATCTATTTGGTTCTCTGTAGTGTGGTCCGGTGAGATCCATGTAGCCTTGTGTATACGCTTGTGTGGAAAAATTGTGCCTCCTATGACCTGCTTCGGTTTGGGCACCCGGGCAGTATCACAGTCCACACACAAATTGATGAACTCTGTATGCCTATGGAAATTACCTTTCTCGCTTTGAAAAACAAACAATTGATTCACATTATTATCATTACAATTATTGTCATTATTAATACTACTATTATTATTGGCAGTGGAGCATCGTAAGGAGATGCAGTCCCATGGTAGCCGGTGACCAACGATTGGTTCATACGCCATTTGTTCCCGCAGGATATGTTATGACTTTAAACTTGGGTCGATTTTTACCCTGTGCTAATTGTTGTGTCCTTGACTGGAAAAATTAGGGAGCAGCGTATTTATCGATCGATCCAATGACACGTACGGACGGCCTAGAGTCTCGATTGGTCTCGCTTCCCTGTCTAGCCCAGTCAGTTGAGTCCAGAACACAAGTCACAGCCTCGGAGATATGAATCATTGTATTTCAGACATACTCTATTTATATACTAACCAAACGTACCACATCGTACCATAAAAATATAAAACATTTGTACAATATTTAACGGATGAAATAAATAATGGCCAATAGGAAATGTCCATTTAACGTCCAAGGACATCACTAGGGCTAACATGATAATGATTGGCGCATTATTCTGTATCCATAACAATAAGTCTTTGCATTCCTTTGATGTAAACTCTCTCCTCACGAATGTACTGTTAACAAAGACGGTGGATTTCCTTTGTGACTATATTTCTACAAATTTTCCCCTTTTTCCTATTCGGTTACCATTGTTGAAAGAATTACTTTTATTATGTACTGCTAATGTTCAATTCACTCTTGAGGGTGAATATTTTCGACAAGTTGATGGTGTAGCTATGGTTAGTCCTTTGGGGCCTCTCTTAGCTGATGTATTTATGTCATATGTGGGAAATATGACGAGCGAGCTCATTCGTGAGGCGACTCTATACAGAAGATACATGGATGATATTCTAATTATATGTGATAAAGATTTTGATGTTTACCGGTTATTAGATAAACTCAACGGTGTTCAAGACGATATTGTGATGACATATGAAGCAGAAAGTAATGGCCGATTGGCCTTTTTAGACATACTTTTAAGTCGAAGGGATGATGGCACTCTTAGACGGTCAGTGTATAGGAAACCCAAATTGGTCATAGGAGGCACAATTTTTCCACACAAGCGTATACACAAGGCTACATGGATCTCACCGGACCACACTACAGAGAACCAAATAGATCATATTTGCATCAACAAAAAATTCCGAAGGACAATGGAAGATGTGAGAACCGGGAGAGGTGCTGACGTAGCTTCAGATCACCACCTAGTTGTAGCCAATTTGAAACTGAAGCTAAAAAAGAACTGGACAAGTGGACAAACAGCAATACAAAGGTTCAATACAGCCTTCCTTCGAGATACTGTCAAACTCAATGAATTCAAGATAGCTCTCAACAACAGGTTCCAAGCCTTACAAGATCTACTGAAAGAAGAAACTACTATGGAGGACAACTGGAAAAGCATCAAAGAAGCATTAACTTCAACGTGTCAAGAGGTTCTCGGTCTAAAG